TGCTCCTGTGAGAGCACATGGTAGGGCTTTAAAATATTCAGAGTTGCTAATCAGGCACTGGGAACGCTGATATTAAGTTTCAACTGTAGCAGGGCTATTTCTTGGTGAGGTGAGAAGGGAATGGTAAGCTATATGGACTTTCGATTTGCGTACCCATAATTTGCCCTTCTGATTATTCTGTTTGCTCTGGAAAGTCAAGTGTGGTGGGGCTGGTGAGGTAAGTTGAATGCTTAGAGGGTGTGTCTGCCAAGAGCCTGTGGAGGTTGGAGTTTCTTTCACGGTGGAAGGAGTTTTGCTTCATAAGGGGAATATAGGAAAAGGGAGACCTTTCCAGGAGCACCAAGGGCAAAAATGCAGTTCCCTCTGTCTGTTCCAGTAACAAGAGTTCAGCTGTTGAGTGTGTGTCTGGGTTGTTCCATGGGCCTTGCCCCTCATATGTATAGTTTAGTATACTGTGAGGCTGTGCCACAATAGGCTTTCATAGAAGAATTTGATTTAAACCTGTTCAATTTAAACTTTTATGAAAGAATACTGAAAAAATAAGCCACTGCTGAAACTTAAGTTTCTGAATAAAAGTGACTTTATAACAAGAAAATAATCTGAAGTGTATTTTAGGAGGTTAAACGGGTCAGCTTGTGAAATCCTCATCCTCATCATCAGAATGTTCAAAGTTTTAGAGTACATAGTTATCAGTTGAAACAAATGGTTCACAATCTCGCCTACAGTTTGAATGCTTTAAATGAACAAACTTAACACTCCCTACAAACCACCTCCTCCCAGCTCTATGGCAACAATTGTTTGCTTGCTGTTCCCCTAAGCAGTGCTTAAATTTCACACCTGTGTATGTGTGATGCTTGCTGTATTAATGATCTGGTTTTCAAATACTTTTAAGCTGTATGGAAGAAGTTACACTGTAATTCTTGTATGCTCTGGGTTTAACGAAAAAAAGAACAATAAAACACTGAATGCTTATTTTATAGTAGTTTGAACATATTTGGGGAGGCAAAGTTGCATACGTGAAAGAGTACCAAAAGCACACTAGAACTTGGATGATTTGGTTACTCTTTGTGTTGCTACAGCTAGTCAAGGCTCCCTCATTTTCCTCAGAGAGGTTAAAGTGAGTATGGGAAATGGTGGTTTCTTGATATAATGACATCTACGTATAGTCAGTGGGTGTTAAATCTTGCTCAGAAGTAGAATTCCCATTTCCCCATCTCTTGAATAAAATGGTCATGATCGCCTCTGTAAAGTTATCTGAGATCTACTGATTTTAAAGCACTTTTAATAGCTTCTGGGTATGTCATCTATCAGTCAGCTTATTTTTGAGTTCCTCTAAAGGCGTAAGCTTAACATGGAAGATGAGAATGTATAGGATATGCGATATGGTACTACATAGGTACTTTTATAACACATACTGTGACCCTCTTTTTCCTCACTAATACAGATTCTTTATATAACACACAGTGTAACCCTGTTTTTATTGGCTAATGTGGTCTCTTCCTATTGAAAACACTGAGGCAGGGAATAATCTGTTAGTAATCTTGTCTGGGAAATCTATTTTATAAGGTTGTGCATAAGCCCCTAGTCCCTGCCAGCCAGATGGAATTTCCTTGTTCTGTGTGCTACATAAAATAACACTCAGTTTAGGAGGTATCCTAGATACTTTGTGACTGATGTAACAGTTATGATTTGTGATATCTTGCTAAAGTTGACATGAAATGTCACAGCACTGGTATGCTGAGTTAAAGAGCAAATGCGTATGAAGGTTGAAGGTAAGAGAAGAGAGAAAAGACTTAACAATGAAAATTGCACATTGATTTTTATTTTTCCTTGCTTCATTTCTGGTTAAGAAAATTACTATTAAAAATGTGCCAAACTTTGAGTGAATGGAAGATGTACTATGGTACCTGCTGCTAAGTATGTAAGTGTATAAACTGTTACTACTTACCTGTATTAAACTTATGCACAATCTATGAAAAAATATCGTTTTTGAATTGACAAGTTTCAGTCACGTACAAATAAACCTGTGGTGATAGATGATGTAATGGTATATTATCCTGAGTAGATACATCTTTAGCATATTACTCTTTGCATATATCTGTTCTGAGAAAAACCAGAGGGTAAAGAATGATACAAGTTTTATTTTTGACTGGCTGATGCTTTCTCAGTCTTGTGGTTAGCACAAAACTGACTCACAGAAAATTCTGTAGACTTATAGGCTGTAGTAGGAATGCCATCCAGATGAAGGTCTAAAAAGAGAAACTCTGGATCGAGTTTCTAAATATCAAATTTCTGCTCTGTTGCCAATTTTATCTATTCAAAGGTGTGACAGTAGTTACTGAATGATTGTCTGTTTGACAAGGTCAGATGAAGGATGCTAATGTCTAAAATGTAAAGATACAGTGCTTGTGTTCATTGTAAAGACAAGAACTGAGCTGCAGTTGTTAACTGGCTAAGTTATGTAGCTCAAGAGAGAGCTGAAAATATGCATATGTGAACTTCATATAGTCACTTTGAATTGAACCTTTTTGGTTAAAAGAAAATGCTGCTGATTAGAGGTGATTATTATTTTTAAAATGAAATGTAATTTTCTACTTAGGCCCAGCTGAATTTCTCTAGGTGATGTTACTGCTTGAGTATGGGTTAACTGAAAATCTTTGCATTACCTGAGAGAATAAAACTAGTATCTGTTAATGGTGTGCTGTTATGACTCTCATTGTTAACATAAGGTATTAGATTGAAGTGGATGTTGGATGAATTATATGAGATAAGCAATTAGTCTTTTGCTTGTTTGTTTTAAATAAACACTAAATGAGCCCCCCCTCATCAAGAAACGCTATCTCACTACTAAACTTTTGGTTTTTCAAACCAAAACCCCCTTAGTTATAGAATCAAAATTCTGGGAAGCTTCAGAAACTTAAATGCTTTCTGTGAAATAGATTAGGAAAAGCATTCACCCCTCATTTGACCTGGAATAGATTTGAATAGGTTGGTGACTTTCATTTCCATTTCTCTTCTGTCATCCGGTAATGTGGGAAGGAAAAAAAGGCATTTGAAGTGTTCTGATATGGAAAACCCTGTAACTCTTACAAGCATAGTGAGGGAAGCCAGGAAAGTGGGAGGGTACCCTCCATTTCCAGGGAAGCATCAGGGGGTTTGGTATGCTGCAGGCACATGTCTGTGCCTGGGTTTTGGGGCAGCTGGTCTGGCTTGCTGCTCCCGGGAATGCCACTGGAGCAATAGCAAAGATGAAGGACACAGCGACATCCTGTTGCTGGTTTTTGTCTCATGCTAGGCTGGCTTCCCTCTGTGTGCTGCTTTTCATGTGTGGGTACTGCTTTTTCTACTGCCTAATTTGGAGTTGCTGTGGACAGTGGGCTGCAAGGGAGTCCAAGGTGTGCTCTGAAGGAAAATAATGCCCAGCAGATGTAGGCAGGGGGTAGAAAGGCATCTGCTTCTGTCTCTTGTCCTGTCAGAGCTATATGCATACTGCTGTCAGCACAGCCTTGCAGTTGTGGCTTTGCCACCTGTGCTGGAGGGTCAAACAGGGTGGCAAGTCTCCTCTTCCCCTGCTTCCAGCTGCAAGTGAAAGGTGGTCTTTAGGGGTGCTCTTTGCCTCAGTGAACTAAATTTTAGGGATTCTCCATTTCTCTTAGAACATAGTTTCTCTATTTTGGCTGCTGCACTGTGCTCTCCAGTGCTTCACAGGAGGAGGCTGTGTGGGGCTCCCTCAGCCCTTAGTCCTCTCCCCGTAAGGAGTTGGGCAAGTGTAGTTTCTCTAGCTTTGGGCTTGTTTGTTCTTTTGAACTCTACTGAACTAGGCTGTTCAGTAGAGCCAGTTTCAGAGCAGAAAGCCCAAAGCCTGTCCAGAGTGGCCAAATTCTTCTGTGCAGCACAATGGTCGGCAAAAGCATCATCTCTGCCTCTGAGCAGTACAGCTGGGTTAGTCTCATCCTGCCTATGCCCAGGATAAATAAGCCTCCCTGCCAAAGAACCATTAGCATAAGTACAGGGAGAAAAAATTGCGTAACACCCAGTGCTGAAGGGAAATCCTTCAGAAAGGCTGGTTAATAAAGAACCAGTTTGCCCTTTTTCTGACTGGCTTTTACTAAGCTGGAACAGAGATGCCGGACTCATGCTGAAGGAAGGATAGGAAACTAAGCAAACCCATTGGGGACAGCGTGTTCTGAGTAAATGGGGGGAACACATAGAATCATAGAATGGTTTGGTTGGAAAGGACCTTAAGAACACCTAGTTCTAAACCCTGTGCCCCCTCACCCTAGACCATGTCACTCAAGACTCCATCCAACCTGGCCTTGGACACTGCCAAGGATGGAGCATTTACCACTTCTTTGGGCAACCTGTTCCAGTGCCTCACCACCCTCACTGTAAATAACTTCTTCCTTATATCTAATCTAAACTTCCTCTGTTTTAGTTTGAGCCTGTTACCCCTTGTCCTATCACTACAGTTCCTAATGAAGAGTCCCTCTCCAGCATCCTTGTAGGCTTTCTCATGACCCTTTTGTTTTGGTAAGTGCTCTTTTTTCCCCATGAAACTGCTTTCATGCAAATATGTCGTAAAGCAGTCCCTAGTGATGTTTGAATCCTCTGAGACTTGAGGTGGGTGAACAAGGAAGCAAAAGATGGTGGTGGCTCTTTGGTTTGATTACTCTAACCTCTGGAACAAGCTGCTCTGCTCTATCTCAAGTTGCCTGTGTCAGAGTTGGTGTGCGGAGGCAAGCTGTGAGAGGCTGCTCACACAGACATGTCTCTTTGCTTTGCTCTCTGCCAGCTCTTACCTGCAGAGTTTGAGCTATGGATGCTTTCTCTCATGTGCCTGGATGGAGACTGTCACCTCTCCTGGGGCAGCTGGAGAAGGAGAGTTGCCATCGTTTCAGCTATGGATCTGTTAGAGAGGCCATACCTATGCTCTCCTTTTATCTTCCCATCAAGCTCACCAAACCTGGTACACTGTTGAATTTAATGTCTTTGCTTCCCTCCTGCACAGATCATGTTTTGCACTTTGAACACTCATAAAGCTGATATGGACAAGCTTTTAGGTGCACAAATTGGCCTTGAAGATTTCATATTTGCCCACGTAAAAGGACAACGAAAAGAAGTGGAAGTTCTTAAAACTGATGATGTGCTTGGTCTTACCATTACAGACAATGGAACTGGTTGTGCATTTATAAAGGTAAATGTAATTACCAGTGAAGTATTTTGTTCTGTAGAAGCTTTTGTTACTTTAGCAGGTTAATTATTGATTTAATGATGCTTTAGAACTATAAAATCTTTTATCATTATATATATGGTAAGTAAAAAATGAAGTTGGCTTTTCTTTAGGTACATCATTCAAAATTAGTTCAGCTATTTCTGTACTACATGTCATTCAAAATCAGTTCATTTGTTCATTGCTTCTATACTGTGCATCAGCTTTACAATGTGGCCATTGTATTTTCCAATCTAGCCTGAGGTGGTAGGTGTTAAATACTGCTTGCATCTGCCCCCTCCTTTTTTTAAGTGATTTCCTGATGTCATTTATTGGGTGCTTATAGAACTTGTGTTACTCGTGATAATGAGATCATGTACTTTCAGTTTTTATGACTGTTCCCAGGGCAGAAGCCTTTGTGTTTTATAAGAATAGGTGCAAGTACAGTGCTTTTTCAGCTTTCCAATACTTTTGCCTTAGATAGGTAGGGTGAATTAAAAGATGCTGAGGGTATGAATTGACACAATTTACCAGAATTAATGTGAGTGGCAACTATGGGCAGTAAAATACACTAATCATAATTGCTTTCCTCCTCATCTTCTATGTGACCTCCAGATAGTATGTTTTGAGACAAGTAGAGGCTGAGGAAATGACGCTACCCTTCTTGCTAGAGTAGGTATTAGGAACCTTAATCACGTTTTCTGCCTTTTTTGGATGCTTTGCTCTAATCTACCCCAATTATCCATTATTAGTGAGGCACTGGCAATTATCTGATTATTGCTGTCCCAATCACTATTCTCATTGCTATTGTAAACAGAGCTTCTTGTACAGAGAGGTAATATTCTCTATTCATTCCTTAGCTGCCATGGATATAAAACAAGACATGGTTTAGGAATAGATTTCCTTGTCTTTGTTGTGGGAAAACGTGGTTGAGATCATGCTTAAGAAAGTAAAAATGAAGTGGAAGTTTCAGCAAGCATTTTGGCAAAATCGTATCTTTATTTTTATGTTTATAAACACAGAACTCTGTATTCCTAGTGGTAGCGCCCATGCAGCATCTAACATTCCGTCACTCTGCTGCTTATGTTGCATTTTAAAAGAAGCATTGAAAGCAGTGCCGCAATGATTAAAGCTCACGTGTGCAGCACTGTACAGCGTTACTTTCTCTGTGCTTGGCTGGTAATACGTAGAGAGAGAGCAGCCATCACATAGGCTACTGCATAATTGCAGCAGGCTGGAAAATCCTCACCACAGTAGCAAGACAAGCTGTAACTTCTACTAAATTGTATAAAACTTGTCTGAACAAAGATACCATTGTCCTTGTACTAGTCTAATAATAAGCAGTATAATGAAAATGGTGTAGTCTTTGTGGGAACGTGTCAGTTTAAAGGAGTATCTAGGAGCTTACTTTGTTGCCGTTGCATATTTAGCTAATGGATTTTTAAAAACAGCATAGAGGATACATATGCAAAAGTAAAAGCTGCATCTTTTTTATACTTGATTGTCTAGGTAAACAAATAAGCAGAGACGGTCTCTAAAGTTCAGTAGAAATCTCCTTGTTTATGTTTACTTTCCTTGAAAAATTGTTACTATGTTCCGTTATTAATTAACAGTGAATATTAAATTTAGCTACCTGTGGGTTGTTGAAAGGTGTTATAGTCTGTAGTAGTTTTATTGTATTTTCAATAACAGGGCAGTTTCTAGGTTTTTAAACCTGACACTATGAACTGCAGGTTGTTTTCCTATGAAATCTAACGGTTTGCTTTAGTAAGAACAAAACTTGGTATCATTTCACAAATTTTTTTTGGGTACATGGTCAGATGGGAAAGATGTATTATGGAATCAAATTAGCCATTCAAAGAACAACAGTAGAACTTGAAGCATGACTGACTGGTGTATAAGGAGACTATAAAGTGGGGTGTTACAACTGATTTTGGGTATTGCATAGGAAATATGGATCCTAGCTTTTAAATGGACCATAGAGCACTTGAAATACAGGCGTATCAATTGCATCTTAATTACTGTGACAATGTAGCTTGACTGTCTCTGATCAGTTAACTTGGAGTGATAAAAACATGAAGTCAGATGAGAAAAAACGTTTGATATGACATGAAAACATAGCCAGTGAATATTACTTAAACAGTTTCAGTGTTAGGATTGAAGTGAAGGAAAAAAGCTAAATGAAAATAAATTCAATGTGTAAACTAAGCATGACTTGAAGTGTGGTGGGCACACTTTTGAATCTTGGCCTCTGGTAACAGAAATGCTTTTGGGACCTGGTTTCAGGTCTGTGTGTGACACTCCCCCTCTTCATTCACCATGAGGCTTCTTTCTGGTTTTAATCTAGGTTACAAAGAGTTAAACTCAGCCTGAAACTAAAAATTGTTGCAGTATATTATAGGACACTGAGCAGTATCACGCTTCCCACTGACTCTCTCAGATGGAGGCACATATGTGGGCTCAGACATGTGCACAGAAACTAGAAGCAGGTTTCTGAGATAGTTACGCAGCTAGGCTAGGTGTTACAGCAGGGGGTGGTAATATGTTTATCTCTCTTGTCTCACTGTTACTTCACTCAAAATAAGCCTGAATGACATCAGTCTTTGTTAAAAGGTATGTTATTCATGAAGGTATTAGAATGAAATTCTTATCTCTAAAAAATATAACAGTATTGTACCGTGTCATAGCTTTTCTGTTAAATAGACATACAATAATGGCTTATATGACTGAGGCACATGATAAACTTGACAGCATATAACAGCAGTAAACAGAATCACTGAAATTTTAAATGACCTTTAAATGACTTGGTAAATCACAGAATCATAGCATGGTTTAGGTTGGAAAGAACCTTAAGATTATCTAGTTCCAACCCTCTTGCCATGGTGGGGATGCCTCAGCCTAGACCATGTCACCCAAGGCTCTGTCTAACCAGGCCTTTTTTTCTCACTTTTTAAACTCCACAGAAACTACAAATATTAGTTTATTACATTTTATGACCTTTAGACCATTAGTATTTGTATTCCATGAGATAGCATTTAGAAGAATTTCTTAAGCTTAATTGATCTTTCAGAGGAAATACTTTAATATGTAGCTGTCATATCACTATAGATGAGTCTTCTTAAGACTAGCCCTTTATAGTATGTCATTTTTTAGTATATCACACGCATGGTTTTTTATGTCTCTGGACCATACTTAAGAAAAATTACATTCTTATGCCAGCGTGGAGACCTCATAGCAGCCTTCCAATATCTGAAAGGGGCCTACAAGGATGCCGGAGAGGGACTCTTCATTAGGGACTGTAGCAATAGGACAAGGGGGAATGGGTTTAAACTTGAACAGGGGAAGTTCAAGTTAGATATAAGGAAGAACCTATTTACAGTGAGGGTGGTGAGGCACTGGAACAGGTTGCCCAAAGAAGTGGCAAATGCTTCATCCCTGGCAGTGTCCAAGGCCGGGTTGGACGGAGTCTTGGGTGACATGGTCTAGTGTGAGGTGTCCCTGCCCATGGCAGGGGGGGTGGAACTCGATGATCTTAAGGTCCTTTCCGACCCAAGCCATTCTATGATTCTATGGTTTATGATTTTGAAATCAAAATAAAACCCCAAAACTCAATTAAACATTTACATTACTGATATGTTTGAATTGAGTTATGAAGCAGAAAAACACCGGCTTATTCAGAAGCCTTAACTTGGAAAGTATGAAATATGGTTGTATTTTTTTTTCCTGTTGATTTTATATTTGATGCTTCTTAAAAGACTTTTCTTGAAAAATAATGCTTTCAAAAATATGTTTAATGAAAATCTTAGAGACAAAATGAACTGCTGGTACAATGTTGTTAACTGACGTTCTTGAAACTGTGTTGTCACCTCTTTACCTTTTAAAGAAATGTTTCTTTTCTATATATATGTGTATGTATATATATGTATTTTTTTTTTTTTATGTACATATGAAGATATATATTTTTTTTTAACCAACAGCGAATCAAAGAAGGTAGCCTTATGGACCAAACCAAAATTATCTGTGTGGGTGATCACATAGAGACTATAAATGGAAAAAATGTGTCAGATTGTCGGCATTATGAAGTTGCCAAAATGCTAAAAGATCTGCAGAAAGGTCAGATGTTTAAGCTGGAGTTGATAGAGCCTATGAAAGCATTTGGTGAGTGACCTGGCTGTCCACCTTGTTCACGGAACATTGAAATCCCAACACTGCATTGCATTGTAAGTTTGTTTTCAGATAGCAGACAAGCGTCCACCCAAGGTAACGTAACTGCTACAAGGAAGTACATTTGTTGTTTACTTTGAAGGGAGAAATTTAGGTGTGGATTTTCTTCCATCTTGTTTTCTCTGGCAGTCATCCTGGTGTGGGCTCCCTCAGTCTCAGTTGCTCGATTCCTTTGCTGCTACATGATGATAAATAAGCACAGCCTTTATTTCGTAGATGCAGTTTTAAAGCATGGATCACTTCACTAATGTGCTGGTCCTTGACCCTCCTCTTTTCCTCTACTGATAGATAGTCCTTGTTTATCTGTGTGTCAGGTTTGTCTATTTCTGTATTCTTTACTGAGGTCTGCATTCTCTAATGCAGAAGGATGCTGAAGAAAACACTGGGATTCCCTAAAGCACCTCCTTTGCTGCATATCTTCCTGCTCTCTCTCCCCCCAACTTTTCTGTGGATCTCTAATCAATCATACAGCAGGTATATTCAGAATTGGAAGAAAGTAGTATGGCAAAGCTCTATCTCTACCTACTACATGCATGCTATGAGAAAGTGATACTTGCATAGGAGGAATGCATACCTACTGCTAATCCTTAAGTATATTAATTTTATCAGTGTGGTAAAACAAACCAAAAGAAGTAGGTTTATCTCAGGTAGTCAAAATAGAGACTGAGTTTTAATTTTTATTTTCTGAAATTTTTGTATCCCCCCAGCTATGTAGCATTTTTTTGTAATAAAAACTTCAAAATACTGCTGAACTCTTTAAGTGTGTGTGAGTCCTTGTGCACACCTGCACTAACAGTGTGTGTGAGTCCTTGTGCACACCTGCACTAACAGTGTGTGTGAGTCCTTGTGCACACCTGCACCAACAGTGTGTGTGAGTCCTTGTGCACTCCTGCACTAACAGTGTGTTCAGAATCACCCTCCTTATCACAGCAACAAAAGTTTGAAATGTTTAGTTTTCAAATCTTCTTTTTACCTACTAGTAGTTTAGAACTGCTGTCATACACCAGTCTTGACACTTGGTGTCAGAATAGCAGCAGAAATTGAAAATGAAAGAAATGTGAAGATTTCTTTTTGCTTTTGGTACTTTTATGAAGAACAAAGGTAATGAGTTAATCTCTAATGTGTTTGGATGTATGTTGATACTCCTGTTAAGTAAACGTGTATGTAATATGTTACACTAAAGCAGTATTACATATGTGTAGTATTGCAATTAGTGATATAGGAATATCTTTAATATGGGTCTATAATTTGTATTCAGTGCTAAATGTGTTACATAGTTTGTTTATATAGACCAGAGTAAATCAGCTTTTTATTGATGACTTCAGACGTTATTTAATAGTAATTCCTTTAGTCAGGTGATTAAGATACCTTTTAGTCTGTTTGTGATGTAGAGAAAGAGACCTGTTTGTGATGTAGAGAAAGAGACCTGCTAATTCCCTGACAATACCTTTTATCTGACATTAAATTAAGAGGCAGTCAGAGCTTTTTGGGCTGATTTTTACCCTACAGAAATTAATTTAGAAGTTGCAGTGCCCAGTAGGTTAGAATATCCCTCCTCTAGCCTTAGGTGCAGTTAGCCTTTAGGTACAAATTTATTCAAGACAGTGTTCAAGCTGCAGCATGCTGGGAATAGCTCCAGAGGAGATGACAAGCAAGATCTAGATCCTGCTGGACCAGTAGGTGCTGAATTCCTGTTAGTTTCAACACAAGTTTGTAAAGGTACAGAAATAAGAGACAAGCCTACCTATGAAATTACCAACTTTTCTTGCTTTCATCAGAATGCAAAATGAGTATAATTTACTGGTTAGATCTCTTTCTACTACATGCACACAGGCTACTTCAGCTACTGTAGGCAAGGCTTGTAGCACAGAAATAAAGACTTGTCTGAATAAGACTGGTCCTTACCAGTCACAAGCTGGCCCTCTGTGAATTGGTGAAAAATTAATAGAAACAAAGTAAAAGCAGCATAACACAAACTCAAAACTTTAATTACGAGAATAGTTTCTGTGATGGCCAGAGAGCTTTGTTCTGAAGTGTCACAAATAAAGATTATGTCAAATCATGAGTTTTAATGTACTAATGGTTACTGAACTAGAAAAAGATGCGTGTTATATCAGGAATGACGTTTTGAAACAAGTCTAGCAGAAATTATGACAATCTTAAGGATGTTTTAGACAGTCCTTGAAACAATAAGAGGATTAAGGAAAAGTGGTGCTAAATAAATATGTTACGAGACTGTGCCATATCTATTTGTTAAAAGCAATTAAAAATTACTTTTCAAGACTTGTTCAGTAGAATAATCTGGATTTTTGACTACTTACCTGAGAATAGTGAGTTGGAATCTACCTGGGCAAAATTAATATACCATGTTAAAGTCTTGCCTTCAAGGAGAGCTTTTTGGAAAGGCTAGCTGTTAAGTGGAGGAATAATCTTGTAGAGAAAAACCAGCAAAATTAAGAACAGTTATGAAAAATTTGTTTCCAGATTAACTGTGTAACTCCTATGTTGGTAAGTAAATTAAAGCCTTGCCACTCTTGAATGAAAAATCATGTCCTAGAACAAGAAAGCCAAATATTAAATTATTCCATTTTCCGTTTACTAACTAGGGTGCCCTTACCCAAGATTAAACAAGAAAAGCTGAATTCAGGTAAAGAGAACTTCGGGTGAAGCCAGATATTCTTGGTAGAGTTTTATAAGGTGTGCAAGCAGGACCTCTGTGCAACCAGTGGAAAAACTCCTGCAGATCTGCATATGGACATTTCACACATTTGACATAAATTGAATTGTTAGCTCACGGCAGTATGGCTCACCATGACTTGTTTAGCAGTAGCTTTTGCACCATTGCTTCAGTGAAAAATGGAAATGTTGCAATGCTAAACCTGCTACGTAGTCTGCCTGTGAAGACCAGGATAAATCAGCATTTGGCTGATGGCTTCAGCCATTATCTAATATAAAGTAATAAATACTTCTACTTTTCTGGAGAATACAGAAATAAAATTACACAAAGTGCATGTCTGAAGTTGAGTGCAATAGGCCTGCATAGATACATTGGTCAGTGGAAGTCTTAGCATCAGTTCAAGAGAGTATCAAGGTCTGAAGACAAGAAATTGTCAGAGAAGCTATACTTGGAACACAGTTAATTTATAATTAAATTATATACATCTAGATCTTGAGTAGAATAAAAAGTGAAGATAATGTAATTGCCAAAGTAGATACATTGTATTCTGATATACTGTGTACTTAGTTCTGTTTTGTATCCTTTTCTTTTTGTTGTTGTTACTTGTTTTGTCTTTAGAAAAGCTGGAACCAAGGTCCAAGGGAGGAACTCTGCCAGCAGCTAAAATCTCCAGAGGGAGAGAAACACTTCGGCTGAGAAGCAAAGGCCCTGCTACTGTGGAGGAAATGGTATGGTTATCTTGGGATCTTTCAATAGTTTAATCACCTAGCACCTGATCTAGTTTTACCCAAGGTAGATAAAGTGAAATAGGACAGAAAAATCTGGACCTTACAAAGCTTGCAGGACTCAAGACAGCTGCCTTCTGCAGGGAGAAATGCTTATATGAAGTTAAGACTAGCAGGGCTAAGATGAGGCTGAGGAATCTGGAAACAGAGAGCCTATATTTAGATGTCATGCTTTACATGGATGAATTTAAGATAAATTAGACCAAGGAGTGTTGAAAAGAGGGAAGAGGAGGAAAGGGGGAGGGGTCTGTTGAAGGGTTGGTTTAGTTTCTGACACTGGGAAGTGTGCTGTGCTGGTGTAAAGGTTTTTGTTAGGAGAGGTTAATAACCTACGTTGACATGAATGTCTGGAAAACCAGGATTAGGGTTTGGAAGAAGAAATATTATTTGTTCTGGGTTCCTCTAAAACTAATGAGGATTTGATGTAGATTTGTATTGCCAGGAGATGTAAGGCTCCTGTTTACTTTGAATGTGAGAGCTGTGTGGCATGACATTAGGAGGAAGGCTCAGGTTTGTGATAAGAGGGAAAACATGTTTTACTTGTAGGTTTTGTAAGTCTAGGTGACTGGAATGGGACTAAAGATAATCAGTGGTGAATTGCTGGTTAGTTTGAAATCTGCATGTACATAATCATACTTTTGCTCTTTTTCTCCCTTTATTTCAACAAAGCCAACGGAAGTTGAAGAAAAAGCAATTAAAAAAGTGGATGAGCTTCTTGAAACATATATGGGGATAAGAGATATTGAATTAGGTGAGTTTTTAACAGGCATATTACTACAAGATTAACTAATTTCTCATTTTCTGTAGCCTAAAATTTATTGAGTACTTTAGTCTCCGGATGAAAGGGAAGCAGATTTTTCCAGCATGTGGTCTCAAAAGCTTGCCCATATTTCTGCAAACCTGTGTCTGATAAAAGAAAGAATCTCTCACTACAGGCCTTATGATGTAACTGATTAATCCTCTAGTCTTCATGCATATTATCTATATGCTTTTGCATGAATTATTTAGTTGTTTGCCACTAACTGTCATCACTGTATTCTTTCTAGCATGTATTTTCTAGTGGAGCTTGTGTGTGAAACGTTTAAGGATTGTTAAGGACAAGCATGTCTATTTGCTTTTTTGCTCTTTTGCCCCTTGGCTAAGACACACCAAAGTTGGTCACTGAAGAATCTGAGATCTTCATCAGTGAAAGGGCAACTATTTAGCAAGGGAACTGGCAAAGTAATTGCACAGATTTATCAAGTTCTCTAAAGCCTGTGTTCTGAAGAACATGGAAAATTTCCCAGAATATTTACTAGCTATCACAGTCATCAATTCATAATGAAAGAAACTATTCAACCCCAGTGTCGTAAGTCCTTAAAACTGCACCAAACTTGTCCTTGCAGCTGTTACTTCTTTCTCTTAATCTAAGGACAACTAAATAGAAACTTCCATTTGTATGGAAAGAAGCTGAAGTCTAGTTGAGCACAAATTGCTGCTGCAGCCATCTGTGGTTGCTGTAGTCCTCATACAATCTTGTGGAACTGCTAATACTGAGACAAAGAACGTATTTATTGTTATGGTAATATTAAAAAAAATCAGCCAAGAATTAAGAAAGGACAAGCTAAATGGAAAGAGGTCTTGAAAAGAGAGCTTTCATGAGAAAGAAGCGGAGAAGGCAAAGCAGAAGATAAAATGGGTCTGGCATGAAGCTAAGGGCAAAGCAGGAGGGTTGAACAGGCAGCAGTTAGCACAGAGGAATGAGAACAATGGGAGATTATGTGACTAGCCAGAAGTCCTTTGTTGGCTGCTCTTACCGGCAAGCATCTGATTGGCAGCTTCTACTAGCTTTCTCACAGGAAAAACTGTAGGTAAAGTATTATTTGTACCTCAGCCTGAGGTAGAGGTGGGTTTACTGGCATAGAAGGGAGTGGAGCTGCCCAAAACTTCTGAATTCTGGTTTGTAGGTATTATCTAAACTTTCAAATTCCCAGAAAACTAAAAATTCTCCAAAATTCTAGTCCAAGCAACTCTAATACGTGATGGCCCTGCCATGTAATATGCTCCTGGGAGCTCTGTGTGGTGCTGACCCTCTGTTTAGGTTAGGGAGGATCCCGTGTCCTGTTCCACTCAGTCTGTCTTTGGCTCAGGCTTCAAAGCTCCACGTTGCGTGCCTGTCGTCCCTTTGGGAGCTGTTTTTGTCCTGCAGCTGTTGCAGTCCCGGCTCAAGCCAGGCTTCTGGAGACTCCTGCCCTTGCAGTTTACCTCCAAGGTCCTCAGGCTTTTGGCCTTAGAGGAATAAGCACTTACAGGTGTTCTGGTTTTGGTGTCCATAGCCAGGCTAGGGCATAGTTTCTGGGGATGTTGATGTGTGCTATGCTCTGCTCTGGGACAGAGAAGCAAGTTACCGTGGGAACTGGTGTTACCTGTGGTTTTGGCCGTCAGTACCGTAACAGGATGGCTCTTGCACAGTAGACTGAGGCATTCAGCTTTACACACATATAGTTGTGATGATTGACAAGCACCTCGTAGAGCTTTACCATAAACTCCTTGATATTTCCCTGCCCCCCCCCCCCCCCCCAAAAAAAAAAAAAAAGGAGATCTGACACCCTTCATCTTTCAGTATGTAGTTTGGAAAGTTTCAAAGAGTGCCTTAAAAGAATACTCAGAGAAGGAAGAGGCCTCTGTCCTCTGAGATACTCTTTTCTTCCCAATTGGGTTGTTATTTTGCCCTTTACCTCTTCCTTCTCTTCCCCAAAAAGGGAGTGAAACAAAGAGAAACTGTCAGGAATCAAAGACTACAGGGTTCATATAGCTTTAGTTTGCACCTTTGAAGCCATTTCCAAAAAATCAAATGGTAGAGTTAGGGGCCAACTGTGATATCAACAAAATGTTTTATCATTTTTAAATAATTAAACAGCCCTAGGACTCTTTAGGAAAGCAGAGCTAATCACCTGTCACAGATCTGTTCAATTAACACATGTCAGTTTTTCATATACTGGATATGATCAGTCACCCATGAAAATGAAATATGAGGAAAGGATTCATTCAGAGAATGCCAATCACCACTCAGCTAGAAATTTCACTCATTACTCAAGCCAGATTAGTTGAAAATGCAAGTCATCACAATGCACAGCTGACAAGTGATTAAGATCTCAATCATTGCTCACTCCCATGCAGTTCTGTTTGTCAGAAGCTTTGGATGTCAGTTAATATTGCTCTTTCATCTCCATTAAAATGACACTTCCATGGTGTGATTGAATTCTAAAACAGTGCCCCAGTTTTAAGCCAGAAGTTCAAAAGAAAGGAAAGAAAAATAATGTAAAATTACAGACAGAATTAAAGATGAGATAAAGCCCTTAATTTTTGCATAGTTACGTGTCTTGACAGTTTCAAGAATGGCTGACTAAATCTACACACAAATTCCTAAATTGGAGCAAAATGCTTGGAAATCATTTAATGGTAATGTGTGCACTTTTTTTTCACATGGTTTTGTATCTTCAGAGATCTAAACGCTGTTTAGATTTACATACCTGCCTTTTGAATGCACTTTTACCTCTTTACCTCTTTAGTCTATGAAAACTGGACTTAATCTGCAGAAGGGAGACTTGGCTTTGGAAGTTTATTACTCAGCCATTTATGGACACATTAGAAATTGGGCCAAGGCTTGACTTCAGTCTTCTTTAAAACAAATGTGCCATGGAGAGACAATTCAGATTATTTTAAATCCTGCCAGTGCTTTCTGGTAAAGGAACGTGAACAGTTGATTAATGGAGGGGACTTGGGAAGCACTGCTAGTGAAAAATACTGGTGGCATTTCTTTTTTTAAATTGGTGAGGCTTGAATTGTTATGACCTGTGTTTGATCCCAAAGATTCTGGGTGGGAGGAAGCCTGGATTTACGGGATCCAACCCCAGAATGCTACTGATGGAAAAATGCAGGCGAAAAGGGCTTCCTGTCTAACTAGCTAGCTCTTCGTCTACTCATATTTTGTTCTATTTTTATGCTTTTGGATGTTATTTCTTCCCCCCCCCCCCAATATTGCCAGACATTAAATGTCTTGGCATATTCTCCATGTCTGTTTAAAAGAATTTCAAATCTACTTTTCTACTCTTTATTTTTCATACTTACCGTCTAGTCAAAATGTCCTAACAGGTTTAAAGTTTTTGTCACCCAAGCTGCTTCTCTTAGTTCATGTATCCAAACCCAGTAATATTGGATAGATAATTTTGTCTTGAAATGCTTTGACTAAAGTAATACTGTCCCTGAATCTGTTGTTTTCTGCTCTTCTGTTTTCTGTGACCAGACTTCCTTTCTCAAAGGATTTTATTGTATACACTCTAGGGTATTTTGTTTATAACTGTTCATTTACTCTGAGATAATAACATGAGTTTTGTGAAAAAAAAAAAAGGTAGCCAGTCTGGTTAAACAAGAAGACTTCTCCACTTCAAGAATTAACACTTACTAAAAAGAAACAAGAACGAATATTTCTGATGGGTCCTTGAGTGCCAGGTCTGACAATGTTCAACATGAAAATAAACCCAAGTAATGTTATGCACTGAAAACTGCAAGGACATGCTTCATTTTCTGTCATGTTGTAAGGAAGCTGAATGTGAATTTTAGCTCTTTCAGGCCAGAATAATAATGCTCGTTACCTCTTAATGAACACAAAGCTTCTGATAGCATTACAACTAAATAAATACTGAAGTTTCTGTTAAGGCTTCTGAAAAAGGTTCTTTAGAAGCTACAAGGTAGGATACAGGTAGCAAAACCACTATGTAAGGTAGGTAGTAACAGTGGCAGGCAGATTGTAGCTTTCATGGTTTGTGCTACACGTGCCCATCAGAAGTGAAAATAAGGATTTTGTGAAAGATCTTGGAGGTTAAAGTGACTAGGTTTAAAAAGCCAATACAGTACTTCGTTCTTATTCTGGGAAACCTGATATTGAGCTTCACAGTTAAAGTTGAGAAGACTTCTTATTCCTCTCATTACTTTTAAGTTCACTGAACTTTTCACATTTTATGTAAAAATTTCTCAGGTATTAGCATTGCCTGAAGTGATATTAAAAAAAAAATAAATCTGAAAACAACTTGGGCTATCTGGAGAGTGGAAAAATATTCTATTGGAAAAAAGTTCCTGTAATCACTTATTGTGCAGCTGTTACAAGAAGCAGTGGGGGAAAGGGAGGGGAGCGGAGGCAGTTTGGCACAGAGCTGTCACCCTCTGAGAACCAGTAAAGTTTTCCTCAAGTTGGCAAGTGCTAAATGCCTTGGCAATCAGTAGTTTTGATTTGCCTTGGGAATTACGCATTGCAAATGTCATTGTGTAAACATGCATGTTCTGCACAGCTGTGGCTCCCAGGGGATGCCAGCCCATGTCTGTGTTTACTGTGTGGTGAAATAAGAATATGTACACTGGGTGATGGAGAAGACTGGCCAGCTTTAGTGTTTCTGTGTATATGAAACCAGTGAAGCAGGATTCAGTTTGCCCGTTCGTATACATTGGTGGGACAACTTGTGTGTGTGAAAATCCGGAAGGATGGGTTACATCGTGCGTTAGCTTTGCAGTACGGTAATAGAGCTCTGCTGGCACTAGAGGTCAGCACTAGGCTGTGGAAAACGTGCAGCCCAGCACAACGATCCTGCCATCCTTTCATGGAAGCACTTTTGATCAGGTACATCTGGGAACGGGAATGTGCTTTAATAAATACAGTACATTAAATGTACCCTGGTAGTGCTGATTACAGTTGTTCAAAACATAGAATTATAGATTAGTTTGGGTTGGAAGGGACCTTCAAAGGTCATCTAGTCTAACCCCCCTGCAATGGACAGGAGCATCTTCAACTAGATCAGGTTGCCCACACCACATCCAGCCTGGCCTTGAATGTCTCCAGATGGAAACACTTTTATTTGCAGCCTTTGGCAGTGCCATTCTGACTCCTGCTTGACTGGATTGAAAGTTGTCTTGATTATCTAAGTTGAGTGGATTTTGCTTTCAAGTGTGGTCAGTCTCTACTGAACTATCTACAAGGTTCTGTTTCATAATTTGGATAGCTCAGTCTTTAAAGAAAGTTGTGTTTGAAGTAACATTTTCTGTTAATGACAGAGTTTATTACTATGTAATTCTGAGGTTTCAGCTAGGGCAGTTGGACTGTAATATAATCTTGTGTTGTCTTATCACCGCTCTTTGTGTCATATGGCTCTTCCGTGTATCTTAATTTATCTTAAAACTGGCTAAATTCCTTGCTCCCACTCTGTCTGTTAGGACACTTGTCTGTTGATGGCAACTCACTCTGGTGGTGGCAACGTTTTTTTAGTATCTTGAGTAACTGTATCTATACGGGTTTGCTCTTGTGTCACCTTGCACAGCTCTTCTCCCTCCAACCCTCTCTGTGTCTGTTTAGAGTAACTTCATATCCTAGTTCATATCCAGAAATCTGTGATGTTTAAATTGCACCCTTCACCTCATTACTTCCAGAGTTGCTCCTTTCTAAATATCTTCTTATGCTATGGTGCCAAGGGATACAAGGTGGCATTGATAGGACAGATATTTGTCTTCTGCTTGTCAGGAACAAGAGTCCCATTAATGCCTGTTTCCCATCCAGACTCCTCTGAGTCAGTGTCTCAGGAATTTAACAGGGGACACAGAAAGAATCAATGCAACAGGGATAGGGTTTCTTCTGACAGGCAAACAGGTCTTGAGAGTCCTTGAGCACCACTTTTGGTGCCCCGAAGCTGGGTTACACTTGAGCTGTCTCGATCACAGCAGTTTGTTTGTCAAGATTTACGTAAATTTTCCTTGGAGTGTTTTGTGTAGTTTGGCACACTGCAGTTCTGTTTGACGCCTCATGTCTGGGAGTAGTTTGGACCAAAACGTCAGCTTTCTGCAGAATTACAGTTGCTGATGTCTACAGTGTGGAATATGGTTCAAGTTTGCTCATAACTTGTTAGAAGTTTGCGTAACAGCAAACACTTTTTGCCAGAAGTTCATAACTGTCAATAAACTTGAGCTAAGTTTCAGGTTAACAAAATAATATTAAATAGGTTTAATGAAACTTGAGAGCAGGGGAAGTTTCTTTTCTTTTTTATCAGAGGGATTTTACCATGTTGATACAATGCAGTGCATGCAGTAGACGGCAGACTGTCCCACGGAGTATGGTCTCTGAGGCTTCAAAACTTCCTTCCCTTTTCAGGCACTGTAATATGTTTTCCACTCAGATATCCCTCTGAGAAAAGGCTAGAAGCTATAAAATCCTTCAGTGTGACACTTGAATTTGATACGCTCATGAACAAAGTGGTGGTTACGTGATATATAACAAAAGATGAAGGATATACTGCAGTTTAAGGCAGGTGTGTAAAGTAATCACAAAATGAAGCAGACTTTGAGGGTTTCATCTGTTGTACAATACTGTTATTTCTTGTGAATATGAACAGAGTCTGTGGAGCAGAGATACAGCTCAGAAAATAAACTGCATTCAGCAGCGCTGTTTGTGCCAAGTCTGTTTTACAGTCATCTGCATCCCTCAAACCCTAATAACCTGCTGCCAGTATTTCTCCTGGCCTAGCTTAACCAGGAGAAACTCTCTGTGCTGTCACTTTTCGTCCTTCAGGGAGGTGCGGGAGATTTGCTCTAATATCCCTGGGTTGCCAGCATCCAATGTTGTTTAGGATAGACCTGTAATTTGTCCTAGAATCTGAAAAACTGTGCGGTGGCTAAAGGTGAGGGATGAACACAGCACCTAAAGACTGAATCCTAACAGCAACCTCAGTATTTAGACTATTTCCAAGTCTAAAACTTGATAAATTCTGATACTTGGGTATTAATTAAAAGCAAATGCTGGGCAGCATGGGTTTATAAGATATCACTTGTATATCACAAGAATCAAGATATCACAGAAATCTACTTCTGTTGTATCGGACCTCTCTACTTTAACTTTCCTGGGTACCGAGATATTCCTGGTCTTTGGCTCTGGTTTATTGTGCACAGCATCAAGGTCTTTCCCTTGCTTTTGCACAATTTGAACCACCTGTCTGAGACTTCCAGGAATAACTTTGATCTTTTTCACTTCTTAGTGGCATAAGGACAAATTTTCCCACCCTTGAGGGTGCTGGGAAAAGTAAATTAAAGATTTGGGCTTTTTCAGAGCTGAAGGTAATAATAATTGAAGCAAACTTACGCACTGAAATTAGTCTATCTTTAGTTTGCATGGTATGGGGAAAAAAATGTAGATCCAACCAGAGGAATAACGTGGCTCACAGCAAATGCCTCAGTCTCTTTACTGCCTGGAGGTGTATTTTGGCTTAAAAAAACAAGCTAACATTAATTAAAATTAAATATAATAAAGCTGAAAAATTAAGCAAATCTGAGGTCATATGGTAGTTTCTTGAGAGCATGACTTCATTCAGGTAGTTGCAAACATACTATGCCCAATACCTGACAAACCAGACTTTGATTTTCTCTATGTTTTATGCAGCACATTAGTTGAGCCTGGTGGTTTTATTCTTGTTTCCTAAAATAGGGTATTCCAAGTGTTTCTAAGCCCATTTATCATAACTCCTTTCTAAAGGCAGGTTGTGCTCAACATTTAAACCTTTAAACTCATAAAACATGGGTTGCTGCTAGTAAACCCATACTAGCTTGGAGCAGGGTTTATGTAGTTTTCCTTGTTCAAACCCTATTCCTTTTGACTTTCTGTGAAAAACCTGGCTGCTTTAAACTATGACTTGCTGAGATGTTTTCTTCATTGTTTAGAGGAGAAAAACATTCAAGTTTGCCTTTTGATTTTCTGGTTTAGATCAGCAAGCTCATATCAAACTCACTGAAGTTAATGATGACTGGGTCTGGTTGTTGCAGAAGGGTTGTGCTTAACCTGGTTTTCAGACCCATGCTTCATGTGCCTTCAGCAATGAATATGGAATATAATTGAATAAGATTAAAATGAAGGTCTGTTGAATTAAAAGTTAAACCTGTCAAGCAAACAGAGCCAAGGAGGCTCTCCTATTTGTCAGATTAGAATGTTGCTACTGTGGGGGGATTTTAGTACATAATTCCTGTTGAATCCTAAATCCAGTATTTAAGCTTTACATCTCCCTAAGCTGATCTCTACCTGTTTTTGAAAATAGATATTCAAAAACTATCTTGGCAATATATGTTAGCTGTCACTTTCATAATAATTACATTGTTCTGTTGTTTTTTAGCTGCAACAATGGTGGAAGCTGGAAGAGACAAGAAAAATCCAGATGAATTTGCAGTGGCATTGGATGAAACTCTTGGAGACTTTGCATTTCCAGATGAGTTTGTCTTTGATGTATGGGGAGCAATAGGTGATGCTAAGCAAGGACGACTTGAGTGAGAACTGTGCAGCTTATCAGTCCCTATATGAAAGCACAAAATTATTTTCAAATATGTACATCAGAATTTTAACACTTTTATTGATATGAATCCAGGGTGCTTTGCATAAGTGTTCTTATCTGAGACTTCTTTTTGGTAAGGAAGGTTTCTAATAGAAATATGAAGATAACCCCAAAGTTTGGACAACTACACATTTAATGCAAACAATTTACATGTACAAGTCACTGTGAGGAGTGCATCAAGAAGCTATATTTATACAGACATTTTATGAAAATTAGGTATTTTTTATTGTACATACACTTTGATATCAATATTCTGAAGTGTTACATATACGCAACAAAGAATTTGGATTATTTTATCTCTTCTTTAGAAAAGTTAATAAACTTAGAGAATCATCTAGGTTGGAAAAGACCTTTAAGATCAACAAGTCCAGGTGTTACCCCAGGGCTGCCATGTCACTAAACCATGTCACTAAGGGCCTCACCTTGTTGAAAAACTACCTAGCTACATGCTGTTGTCCTTATTTGTTTATGTGCACAAAGAGCTCTGGAGCAATGGTTTGGCCTGAACATAGTCTGTTCTGTAGTCAAAGCTGGGAAGAAGCTACCCTGTTTTTGAAGAACCTGAGTTCAGGAGAAAAATATTCCTCTGAAACATGAGAACTAAGAACTTTGAATGAAAAAGACTTGCTTTCATTTGAGTCATAATAACGTGCAGTCTGGGTATTGCTGAGATGAGGAAATACAGTAGAAATGCTTAAACCAGGAAGCTGCTGCTTTATTCAGATGCCATATTATTGCAATAGGAACTACACAGGAAGAAACAAATGTTAAATTTGGTTTCTATTAATGTATTTGAATAATATCTGTGATCTGGCACTGAAGACTATAGTGTATGACTTAAGTGCTTAATTGATCTTGCGTATGCTAAATTATTTGCTTAGATCCTATGGAGTTCCCCTCTGGTCTGGGTTGTTTGGGTTTTTTTTCAACGTGGCAACATAGGAGAGACATGGAAGGTGTTCAGACCTGGAAGATGTCACAAACAACCTCAGTTTGGATGAGAACACATGCCTAAACCCTGAAAAATGCATTAAACTGACTGAGATGTTGGGATTTCCAATTATTTTGTACATGAACATTTATTTTAACTGATAATACATTACTAGTAAATCTCTGATTATTGAAAATGAAATTGAAATAGAATGTGGGGCCTGACCTGGGAAGGTGTCATAGCTTTTTAGTATTTTTTTATTTGCACAAACTTATGAAATAATAGGTATTACAAAGATTTTTCTCGATCACTACTTAGTTACTTTTCTTCTGTGGAAAATGTCTTTCACTGTCTTGCAGAGATCTCTTTGAAATAAAGATTATGCCAATAATTTTACATGTTTTATGTCAATGATTTTTTTTTAAATCTAAAACCATGACACTCTGGAGTATCATTGAGAGAACAGGTCCTCATTCTCTTTATTATTTAGGAAGGATCCTGAACTCTACATCAGTCTTTTGCACATGTTACAATAAATGAGTGTTTTTTTCTAGTTACGAAATACTGCATAAAGTCTTATAAATACTGTTCAGTGGTCTTTCAATGGGGATAATCTCCAATTTTGTAAAGGCTGTTGTGAATATTTTGCTCCTGTAGCTCTGATTTAAGGACAAGTTTTCATGTAATACAGATATTCCTCTTTATGAAATGAAACAAGGTGGTATGGAGGCCATAAATTTTAGTGTATTTAAGAAGTTCAAAGGTGTCAAAACTTCTCTTAATTGTACTAGTGCCTCATTATCAGTGTGGGGTGAAATCTGTATGTGTATTCAAACAGGTGTGATCACTATCAATTTCTATACATAGGAATGGGTATGAAAATTTAGGCTATTCTCAAGTTCCGAGAAGTAGAGATAATTTTGCAAGAAAATTTGAATTTTAGTAAAACTTGAAAATTAAACTTTGTAAGGAGGTAGTTAAATTTTATACATCCCATTGTTCAGTTGGAACCTTGAGAATGTTTTATTTTGAGAAAGGAGTGTAATTTTAGGACAGAGAGGACAAGGTAGATAGCGTTTGTCTGTATTTAATAGTTGCAAATCTGAGCCCACAGTCTTCTGTTGCAGTTGGACACACTCTGTCTTGCACACAGGGTTACTTTAACTTATGTACTCTTGATAATGAAGAGTTAAAGTACTGTGGGCCATATCATTTATTCTTTAAACTTATTTTAGATGAAAAGGAAAAATGAAATGTCAAAAATTCCCAGTCAGTTTCAAATTGTTTTATATAAAACTCACATGTCAAATTTTGTGGAAATGATTAGGTACACTAATGTTAGTAACCAACATGCTGCTGCTTGTAAAAATCAATGAAAGTTAAGAATTCCTTCTTAAATGGTGAAAGAAAATCTACTATGGAAGAGTAGTATTGTAAAAAAATATATGAAATGTAACCTGTAGCGGATAACCCCTCATGTTTTGGATGCTTATTTTATTTTGAGAAATTAATGTTGTTTAATCAATTTATCCTCAGAGGATAATTTGTCTCATTACACTCGTAAAATAGCGAGATAAAATAATCTCTGAAGCTCTAATTCTGCACAGAGCTGTCTCTTTTTATAGTGTCCTATCTTTGTATAGTTTATTTCAGAACTAAGATTTAAATAGCAGTTTGAATTTTACTAGCATTTATGGCAATAAAGTATGTCAATATATCTTAGTAATTTTTCTGAATTCTCATTTATGCATACACTATTTCCAGCACATAAGACATAGTGCTACCACTACCCAATTTAGTAGATTATTGCATTTTCCAGCTATGCATGAATAAATTGTCAGATGAAAATCACACTACCTTATAAAGTATAATACTTCTCACTCTTTGTAATGATTTCTGTAGTAAATTAATGTTGTTTTACTAATGAAATACAGCCTGAAGATACCTTTAAAACCTAGTCAGTTTTGCATGCTTCATAGGGTGAAAATGTCATCAAATGTCACTAAAAAACCTCACAAATTCATTTGAAGTACTAGTTCTAGTTAATACAAGTCCTGATCAGAGTAGGACTATAAACATCTTGTTAGTGTGTGTCACAGGTGGGGGTGAATGTTGGTGAATAATCATCTCAAGATCTGAGGTGTAAGGTAGTAACTCAGCCTGAATGCTATTCTAAAAGTAGCTGATTCCTTATACTTTGGTGCACAGTTTGCAGGGAGCTGGCAGATATATGCAATTGTTTGTGCCTGTACTTCCAGACTTGCTGCTATATTGAAGATGATGGAAAAGACACCACTTTTTTCTCTGTAAGCAATAGTCTTTAGATGCAACAAGGGAGTTTAATGAAATCTGGTGTTCATAAAGTTCTGAGCTCATAATCTTAAAAATATGATGAGGGATGAATATTTCACACTTTTAAAGGAACTAATTTTGCAAATTACAGTTATATCTTTTGCGACATCTTTAGTATGCCAGATGTTACTTCAGTTAAATTTGATATTATGCAACCCTATTCATAATACAGTCTTTATTCAAATAGCTATTAATATAATCAGTGTATTTGTGAAAATCTTGTCTGCTCTTCAGATTTGCACTTAGATTAGAATAATGCATATATTCTTATTTCTGTATGTGATTTTCTTCACAATTTGCCTCTTTCCTCCTTTTTTGAGATAAAAGTAATATAAAGCTTTGATAATCTTGTTCTTTGTATTTGAGAGTGAAATATTAATCTTTAAGTTAAGCGAAATGGTTTTGTTAAGAAAAAGCTATCAGGCAAAATGTAAAGCAGGGTATAAATTTTTTAAAGTGCCGTCTGTGATGACAAAAAAGCAAGTTGTAGATTTTTTTTTCTGCTTTTTAATGTGAACTTCTGCTACTTTTCAAATTTTATATTGTTTTTCATGAAAACAGCTCTGAGAATTTCTATTCCAAAGTCTGAATATTGTAGTAAAATGATATATTATCTTAGTTATCTTTCTCCCAGGAGATATTTCAGAACAATTAGAAGATGGGGTGTTGATTCTTTGCCCTTTTGAAATCAAGTGCATGTTTGCCATGAGCTTCAGAACTCAACTGTAGCAATAAGAACTTTATCTGAATTTTATATTCGGTATTGTTTTATTTTCCAGTTCCCTGACTCCCTATGTTTGTAAGGCATTTTGCCTTTAGATGTTTTACTTTGAAAGATCTGTGATTTAGTTTATGAAAATATGAACCAAATGTACAGGCTTGGAAACCAAAGTTGGGGGAAATCCTCAGTATTTCCTGAAGATACTTGTAAATAGTAACAGTCTGTGTTAAAAGCATATGCAGCCTGCAGTACAGACTTTGTCCTCAGCAAAGGTATATTCAGTGTGTTTATATTCAGGGAATGAATACTCAAAAGAATACAAATGAGATAGCATAAATGTAAAGAAAAAAATATTTTAAATGAAACGCATGCACTGGCTTTAAATAGCACAACACAAGGTCTGTAGATTGAACAGAAGCAACCTCCTGATGTTTTTAGGCTTCCTTATCTCTCAACTCTTGCTGCTTTTAAACAGAAAGGTCGTGAAGAGCTTTTTCACTTTTCTTCATATAATGGCAGTCTTTAGCTGTGTCAGAGCTCTTTCAGAAAAATATAGTTGTTGGTTTTGTAGCTGAATCATTAGTCTGTGGGGTTCTCACAGTTCCCTGAGAACTAATGCAGATTTTCAAGTTGTCACAAACTTAATTTTACTGTACAGATTTGAAAGAGGAGGAAATAAGGGAGAAATAAACATCTACTTTTCTTTGAAATTGAAGAGTATCTGACAGTTCCACTTCTTATAGTCCTTACTGCAGTACTTTTGCAGTGACCTGCGTGTAGGATCCTGAAGAGTAACAGAAAAGATGGTATCTGATAAAACCTTCTGTCTGAAAATCACCATGTAGTAAAATGCCTTGTAAATTGTTAGGAAATCATCACTGTGGAAAAAGACTAACTGCTATTCAAAAGCTCAAAAGGTAACCCCAGCTTATGGTATAAGGTAGAAATTTTCCAAGAGCTCAGATGAAGAGCATGGCAACAAAACCAAACATTTCTCCCCAAATCTTTGTTTCACTTCTTTTAATC